AGAAACACATGAAACATGTTTAAAGACTGTTTGCGCCAGACATAATAAATTAAAAAAGAGGTAGGGAGATGAAGAGGAAGGGAGAGTCAGGTTATAGTAGAAAGGAAGTAGACAGAAGCTATTCAAGGGGAGAGGAAGGAGGGTCTGAGTTACCATCTTGGTTTTTCAGTGGCTCCATGAAGAAAGGACTATAAACTCCTAAACATAGAAGATGGTGGAGCTGGATTATGCTAGTGTAACCAAAGTTGACCCATGTCAGATATATGATGCACACACTAGTCTTAGAATAAAAGTTTTTTTTAAAAAAACCCATATCTATTAGAAAAAATAAGTGCAAAGAATGCTTATGCTTAAAACTCTCAATTAGTATGTCTTTTATCCTCTCCTCCCTATTGAATAGAGAACTATATATGTCTTCTTTGTCACTGTATAGTCAAAGACAACCTCAAAGCCTGGAATATTAGCAGGCACTCTGAAAGGATTGTTTTCAATAAATTGTGACCTTTAAATTTTTATTTTATTGAAAAGATGCTGTACAGGGGGTTACAGTTACATGAGTAAGGCAATGAGTACATTTCTTGTCCAGCACTGTTACCCCCTCTCTTGTTGTTCTCCTACTATCCCTTCCTTCCCCCTACCTCCCTCACTCTTTTCCCCTACCCCCAGAAGTTGTAAAGTTCATTTCTAATATAGTGCCTTGTGAGTATCATTGTTGCAATGGGTCATCCTGTGTCCTTGTTTCAGTGTTTTGTTATTCCCCTTCCCCTCCTCAAATTAGACAAATGTATATATAAGATGCAGGGTAAAAGAGGTCTTTCTTTGTTGTTGTTTTTAATGTACTATGTGATTTTTTTTTGTTTCCTTTGTATGTTCTTCGCCTTGTTGTCACTGTGCTTAAATTGTGACATTTTAATACAAGTAAGAAAGTACAATTTATAACAGCTATCACTAAAATTTAGTGGCCTGAGATGAGACTTAGCATTGCCCCACACGCACTGAAGCTGTAAGGGGTGAATGGACAAGCTTATTGGATTTCTTCTATATGCTAGCAGGGCAGTGCACCAATAACACAGAGAGGTAAGGCACTACCTTCTCTGTCTCTCAGGAAGAGGTTGACCTGCAAAACGTCAAAACCCCAAGTGCGCAAAGAACTTGTGCAAAGGATGCTGCCGAGTAGCTGTCAGCCACCTTCAAGCAACAGCAAAGAACCAGAGCAACACAACCCTGAGAAACATAGCAACATCCCTATTTTCAAAAATGAGAAAAAGTGAACTAACTGTACACGTACTTTGCAACTGAGCATAATTTTACCTCTGGATTAAGGTCTACAAAGAGAATACCAAAGGAAGGGTTCGGAGGCCCTTGTGTAAGACACAGGCCCTTGTATAAGACACTGTGTTGAGAACGAACTTTACAACTTGTGGGGTGGGGGAGAAGTTGGGGAAGTGGGGAGGGAAGGGATGGTAGGGGAAAAACAAAGGAGGTAACAATGCTCGATAGGAAATGTACTCATTACCTTACTTGTGTAACTGTAACCCCTCTGTACAGTATTTTTACAATAAAAAACATTAGAAAGAAAGAAAGAGAGAGAGAGAGAAAGAAGGAAAGAAAGGAAAGAAAGAAGGAAAGAGAAGAAACATACTGGGTGCTGGTAGCTCATACCTATAATCCTAGCTACCCAGGAGGCTGAGCTCTGAGGATCACAGTTCAAAGCTAGCTCCAACAGGAAAGTCTCTGAGACTCTTATCGCCAATAAACTACTCAGAAAAAGCTAGAAATGACACAAGTGGTTGAGTGCTAATAAGCAAAAGAAGCCCAGGGACAGTGCCCAGACCTGGAGTTCAAGCCCCAGGACTGGCACAAAACTTTTTAAAAAAAAGGAAAAGGAAAAGGTGTGACCTATGGAGTTCACACTTGTATCTGAGCAACATCCTGCTAACATCAAACCTGTTCTTCTGCTAGTTGGAAAAAGTGGACAGTGGGAAATAGCCAAGAAGTCTGAGTTTTATTAAAATTTGTTAGTCCCTCTTAATGTCTCTCAAAATGTAATGGAAGAAAAAGGAGCAAAAATAAGGGTCAACAGCATACAGAGCAGCTAGAATAGTCTTGAAGAAAAAGCTAAGTAAAAGAAGTGAATTTCTTTTTTTTATTTGACTAAGTTAAAAAAAATTAAGTCAAAAACACCTTTTAATCAAGAAGTGAATTTCTAAGCAGAGGTACTGAAAAAAAGTAAAATACGTTTTTAGCAATAAATAAAATAAAATGATAAATGTCAAGATCCAAAATACCCCAGGAATCAAAACTAGCCAGAGAATACAAAAATCAACAAGCCTTTCCCCCAATAAACAGGAAGACATAAATGGCTTATTGACCAAATTGTCAGACAATAAAAAGTTGAAAAATACACTGGGTAATGAAGTCAGAGACCTAAAAGCCCATTACAGTTGGCAAAACTTCCAAGGGCAAACTCAGGTTTTATACATATGTTTTAAATATTTGACATTTATTATAAGAAATACCAAGAAGAGGAAAAAGTTGGCTTAGGGATTTTAGAGGAATGCTAGCTAGTATAAGTGAAGTTGTAAGAAAAACGTAAGTGAAGGTGTTGAAAAAAGTAATTCAACCTTTAGACAACATTAAGAATGTAGAAGCAGCCAGGGGGCCATTGATAGCCCAGGCCTATAATCCTAGCTATTCACAAGCCTGAGATCTGATGACCATGGTTGGAAGTCTATCTCTAACCACCAAAACACCAGTAGAGCTGTGACTCAAGTAGTAGAATGCCAGCCTTAAGTACAAAAGCTCAGGGACAGCCCCCAGGCCCTGAGTTCAAGCCCCAAGAAGCATTGTCTACTCTAGTTTACTGAGCAGCTTTTTGTGTACTAACCAGAACTCATGTATGTGAAAACACTGACTTGGACAGTGTTTATTAAATGTTCCTAACTGAACACATGGATTGAACTTTCTTCTCTTCTAAGGTGCCACTGAAATGATAATAAAATGATTTAAAATATTTGCTACTAGAAAGCAGGTAGAAGGGAATTAATTGGCTACTAGATTCCAGAATGCTAGATTTGTAAGTTAATAATAGAAAAAGAAGTATGTTATTCCAGAAACACCTCCCAAACCCATGCATTAGTATAATGTATCTTGGGAACTAGAAATGACTAGGAACTAGAAATAGAGAACTCATTGAAAGGTTGCTCAAGCGCAGTTAGATCCTATGAACAACTGGTGATGAACTGCCCCTCTCTTGTCCAGAGAACTGTACCCAGGGATACCACAGAGAAACAAGATTATTAAGTACAAACTATGTACTAAATATTGAGACCAACTCCCAGAATTCTGACCACCGGATTATCATCCTATTGAAGGCCACAGGAGACTTATTTGTAGAAATCTGAGCAATATAAAAAAAAAACAAAAAGGCGAAATGATACTGACAATTAGGGTTTCCCAAGGACCAGGGAAGCTAGATCAGCTCATTATCAATCTCATCTAACAATCCAATTATAAAATAATACCAAACTTACAAATAGCCATTTACAGCTGTCTTTAAATAATGGTTAGATGATTAAGGACTAATAGGCATTTGAAGAATCGTTCATGTCATTGGCAGAGACTAAGAGAAGAGGGTTAAAAAAAAAATACCAAAACTTAAATACAAACATCTATGTATATAGGGTAGAACAAATGATATAAAAAGAAACAAAGGGAGTACAGAGGAAACAAATATAAAGTCTAAAAAAATTGTAATAGAAATATTGAGACATAAGTTGAGAAAATCTATTTTGATATGGAGTAAAAAAATGAAAGTCAAAATTGCAAGAAAATGAAGCAATGGGCAACAGATGGGGTAAAAAATCACATAAATACAGAAAAAAAATTCTCCAACTACGAATATACACATTTCCAAGTTGAAAAGATAACTGTTCAAAATAATAGATGAAAACAGATCAACACAAGGTACATCACTAAAAAATGTAAGCATAGGTTTTAAAATATATATATATATATATTAAAGGGCTGGGAAGGTGGCTCAGTGGTAGAGTGCTTGCCTTGCATGCATGAGGCCCTGGGTTCGATTCCTCAGCACCACATAAGCAAAAAGAAAAAAGCCGGAAGTGGCGCTGTGACTCAAGTGGTAGAGCGCTAGCCTTGAGCTGAAGAGCTGAGGGACAGCGCCCAGGCCCAGAGTTCAGGCCCCACGACCAGACCCAAAAAAAAAAAAAAAAAGTGAGACAAGATGATACCAACAACCTAAACAGCAATAAAAGTGACATTACAACGATAATAAAAAGCTTCTCGATAAAGAAAAGATGGGAATCAGATCGATTTATTGATAAATTCTACTAGACCTTTAAAGAAGAACACCAATGCTCCTCAAGTGACTTCATAAAATAGCAACTGAATAATGCTTTAAAACACAATTTTTGAAGTCAGTATTACCCAGATGCCAAAATTATATCAAGGCACACCAGTAAAAAAAACTTACTTGCAAGTCAAATTCAACAACATATGAAAATGATCATACCAAGATCAAATTGGTTTCATACTAGGAATGCAAGGATGGTTCAATGTACACAAAGCAATTATCATAATAGAATACTGAATAATAGACTTAAATCACTTGATCATTTCAATGGATGTAAAAAAAAAAAAAAAACCTTTGACAAAATGAAACACCCCTTCATGAAAATACTAGTAAAAATGAGCAAAAATTTGAAAGACACTTCACAAAGCAAGCTAGATGTTAAATAAGCTAAAGAAAGGTTTCTCCACAACACTGGTAAACTAGGAAAATGCAAATTAAAACCACAATAAGATACTATCAACACCTATCTATGGCAAAGGTTTTTATTTAAAATTTTTAATTTAAAGCTGAAAACAACAAGGTATTGCCCGAGATATGGAGCAACTAGACATTGCTCATGAGAATACAAAGTTGACACAGCCACTCTGGAAAACAGTTTTGCAGATTCCTATAAACATTCACTTACCTATTGTTACAGTTTGGCTCCAAAAGTCTTGTTTTCCCAGCGTTTGAGTGCTTAAAAAAATATTGTTATCTTCAAATAATTATACAAAACCTTTTTGGCCTATGTCAATTGTCCAATTCTGTAGATGGATCCTGTGTAATGTCATCCTTTGAATCACTATCATTCCAAACAGGACTAGAAACACTGATAGATGAAGCAGCTTAGGCATTCAGTACATTCGTGCTTCATCTTTCATATACCTACTCTTTTTAGCTTTTGATTTTTCAATTCAAAAAATTTAAATATATTTACACTTGATTATAAATTACCTAAAATACTTTTGGAAGCAGATGAAGTCTAAATACAGAAGAGAAGAGAAAATGCATGACTGAGTGGGGAAAGATGAAAGACAAGGTTGTCTGACATGACGCTGAGAAATGAGTTGAAGCATTGGGCAAATTGAAGGACTACACATGCCTGTGGCTTTATGGCCATGGAACCTTAAAGAGGCCACTTTACCAGGTAAATATGAGACGTTGAGATCATGACAAGAACACTGAGGGCTCCTACTAACATATCAGGACAGAGATCTGACTCCGTTAAATAGGCATGAGCATCTACAGCCAGAGAAGATAGGTCAACAGCAAAATAACTTTTGATGTGTTCTGGTAAAATATCTAGAGTCTTGATTCATCAAAGAACAAAAATCCCCTCTTAAATGGTAGTCATTCCAACATTAAAATTAAAAATTAAAATAGTACACACATGCTACCATCTCTCCTACAAGACTCCCTTAAGAGTCAATTTGTGCACAGGAATCTAATGCCTTATTTTTTTATTTCAAGGACAATAGTTTTTCTTTCATTTTGTATTATTAGACATAATAAACATTTCCTAGGTTTACTGAGCACTATCTATGCTGATCAGTTAAGCAATGATATAAATCATAACTCAAGAGTAGTGTCTCAGTTCCTTAAAGAGTACTTTTGCTTTCCTAGCTTTTAGTTTCATTTTTTAAAAGAATTTATCAAGATCTTCATACTTTACAAATCAGAATATTTGTAAGATTCATCTTTGCTCCAACAGTCTGACCACAACAACACTCTTCTGTAGTATTTGCCTTAATGGCATTATGAATAGCTTTAAATACTAAGGACTTTTAAGTTCAAAACACTCCCACACTCAAACTTGGCACCTATTAAAGACTGATTTCAGCCATTTCATTATGTTTGCCTGATAGGCACAGAATTAGGACCAAGGATAAAATTACAATGAACACAGAGCTTCACAGTTCAGAGGGGAGCCCGATTCTTTTGTTGAACTAGGAAGCCTGAGAAGCCCAACAATACATAAATGTTGAACACAACTAACTCTTGTAGCCAGCTTGTGATTCTCTTGTCTTTTTTTCCTACTGATGTTCTTGGTTCTTTTCTTTCCAGGAACTTCCCTGCCCCGGGAGAGTCCCTGAGTCCTGAGCCTATCAGAAGCAAGGTTCATTTTGCAGCACTGCCACCGTCCATCTTCCTAGTGGTACTTAGAACAAATAGGACCAACCTATAGTTGTCCCAACTGTGCTCTTTTTGGCTTATCTCAGACAGGCATCAAGATAGGCCAGAAAATTTTTCACCATGCCCTTTTGCACAGTGAGCCCAGTGACAAGGGAGTGTTTAAGATAGGGTGAAGAAGGTACAGATGAGAAGGGAAACTCTTACTTATTCTTATAAATCTACTGATCTGTGTCAACCTGGTCTACTTAGGTGTTGATCAGGCTCAGAGTTTCACATTATGATGCTTTGATCTTTTTCATGAAATAATATGACTGTTCACCAAGACTTCATTATAACATAGAAAACCCAAACCATGCCACCAAGATTAGGTTAAAAAGGGCACTAAAACCACCTTAACCATTTTGAATGGTGGACTGTTGCAATTTTCAAGTTCATTTCCCTTTCCCTCCATTGAGAGTTTATATTTAATAGTAGCCTTGACAAATATCAGCATCATAAACAATTTTTAGTCTCTGAATGTCTCACATTTCTCTTTCACATATGTTCAATAAACATTGAGAATCTACTATTTGTCTATGTCTGTATAATATCAACCCTGTGCACTGTTCCTTCTCCAACATAAGATAGTCAGAATTTGATCAGTAGGTCCCATCTCTGTCTGGATGGCCATTTGGAGTGTTATTTGATCACTGTAACTTCCCCCAGAGTCTCTACAACCTACCTGAAAGAAAGGAGAAAAATATCAACTATAGATAGCCGGATCCCCTCTTGCTCTGATTGTTGTGGCCCCATGGCAGTTCTGATACTCAAGTTTCAAGCCTGAAGCTTTCTTTTGTGAACAACTTACCCTTCTGTAATTTCTTGAGAGGATTCAAACCACTCTGATGTACATGAAAGGCTTTTAAGTTAAATACTTCAGTGACCTGAAATTTATTTACACTATCTGCCACACTTGGAAGAACACACTTAAGTCTGTGGTGTGCTCACTCACTCTCAAATCCAGAGTGGTAAGAGTTTCCTGAACCAACAACCTTCTTCCATCACACTTAACTCTCACTGCCACTCAGAATGGAGTTGAGAACCATCAGCTCAAAAGAGTTTCACAAAGTGTGTTCAGCAGGACCTACTAGTAGTTCAAGATGTCCTGGGCAAGATATTAGGAGGGGTAAGGAACCGTCTTCCTGCAAAAGGCCCTTTGGATAATATAACATCATTCATGGACCAGAATTATTTTCCAAGGGTGACAGTGAGGACATGACCCTTCAGCTGAGAAGCATGTCTGTCCTATTACACTGAATGTTCATCACGCATTAAATATGGGGCAAGATGTCCCCACCCCTGAGTTTTAAAGGATGATTTAAGTCCAATGAAGACCAAGTAAGCAAAGTTAAAGTGTTTTCCAAGGGTGGCAAGGAGGACATGACCTTTTCGTATTACCATGCTCTGTGACTTTTCAAATGGGAGGAGCGGCTGGAAGAGGTGGTACTGAGTGTGAAAGAAGTCTCCTGACTTCAGAACTCTTGCCCTAGTGCTTCAGAGGCATCCTGGGGGATAGGCTGATTAAGGTATTCTTGCTGAACAAACATTTGTATCTTTAAATGGTATAAATGAGGAGCAACTCCTACCAGGGCAGAGTGTTGGTTAAACAGCAGGTCCTTCCTGGCAAGGAAGTGTGTTTATAACCTCAAAAATAACACAGTTCCACTTGGGTCTGGCCTTGCTTTCTCAGGTTAAACCAGAAATAAAAGTGTTACCTAAAATAGAATTGTATTTACTTGTAAAATGAAGTCTTATCGAAGTATTATTTTCAAACTGCAATCTGTTTCTAAACACCAGTGTATAGTCTGAAATTTTTTTTAGGGTTTTTGTTTTTTTGTCAGTCTTGGGGCTTGAACTCAAGGCCCCTAGGAACTGCCCCTGAGCTTCTTTTGATCAAGGCTAGCACTCTACCACTTGAGCCACAGTGCCACTTGCAGCTTTTTCTGTTTATGTGGTACTGAGGAATCAAACCCAGGGCTTCATGCATGTTAAGCAAGCACTCTACCACTAAGCCACATTCCCAACCTGAAATGTTTTCTTGGTGAAAGAATACTTAATGTGCTACACTTTAAAACCTGATGTCTTGAAATTACTTTCCAATACTTAGTACTTTCAGAATTTTAAAATATAGAATCACATGCAAAATAGAGCCTAGCAAGCAGAATTTTTAAAAACTCTGCTAAATATGCTAAGCTTTTAAAGTGAAGTTTAAAGAAGCAAACAAACAAAACCCTTGAAATTCTCACCCTGCTTGTGAGGATCTCTGCTTTTGTAATTTCATCTTAATGTACATGTTAATAATTCGTCCTACAGTCAACTTCATTATGGACATTTTCTTCACCCTTTTCTTTCTTACTGCTCTCCAGCCCCTTGTTGAAGCTCAGTATTAAATAATACAAGCATCAATTACATTAACCCCTCGGAGGCATGCCTATAATACCAGGATAGGAGGTTGAGGTATGAAGGTCATCAGACTGAAGCCAACGAGGCTACACAGTCAGACAAAAACAAACTAACAATTACATTAAGTAAGCTTACTGCCATGATAAATTTGATCAGATTAAGTTTTTTAAAGAGAAACTGAAGAGAGGCCAGGTACAGATACACACATGGAAGCGTGTGAGCCCCTGGAATCTGAGGTTTTAGAAAAAAAACAAAAAACAAAAAACTACACAGATTCTTTTCCAAACTATTATATCCTGACCATTGAGGCATGCTCACTTGAAAACTACCTACCCACACACAATCTCTAAACTTCAGTGACAAAAATTACGTATCTAAGGTACACTGACACATCATCTAAGTGTAGTAGTTCTAAGCAGAGCAGAGGAATGTCCTCCCTTACTTTAGGCAAGCTACCTAAACTTTCTCAGCCCATTTTTCTCTCCTGTAAAAATACAGCCAACACAAGTATCTCATCTCAGAATTGTTAAAGTAAAATGAGAAATGTAGCTAAGTACCTGGCCCAGACTCTCCCAATAGCAAATCCCCAGGAACGACTGGTCATCAGTCTTCGTTGCCTGCTGTTGATTCTTGCATTTCATGCCTTCTTCCCCTCCAACAGCACCCATCCTTAAAGTACCTTCTCCATGCTTGTGGAGAAGAAAGTTTACTCCCTAACTATTGCACTCTACCTCTTGATATCACCTACCTTTATTCTTGTTGTTTGTTTCATTTTTATCATTCACCTCTCCCTGGCACAATCAAACATTTTCAGAGGTCAGGCACTCTATTCCACAACTCAAAAGATAGTTTTTAGAAGGGGATGACAAGTGGCTGTGAAAATACCTGAGATTTTGTTGACATTAATATGGTAATTTATATTTTTATCATTTATATACTTTGCTATAAGCCTATTAAGGCGGGTATCATTAGTCTTTCTACTTCCCTGCAGTTGAAACTGAGACACTGAAGACTTTGTCCAAATTACCTAGCTAATGGCAGATCCAAATCGATAGAGAATAGCTGGGGCCCACACTCCTGCCAATACATAATGGTGTTCAATTCTCTGGATTCAAATAGCCCTTTAAGAAAGCTAGGAAGAACTGTCTCAGAAGGCAAAGGCCACTTATCCAGTAAGGATCATACATTCAGCTGGGGATGGGATAGTAGATTCAATTCAAACAAACTGTATATGTTTTTTGAAAAGACAGAGGTTCACATCAGAAATAAGATATTTAAAAATGAATAATGTACAATGAAAGGAATCTTGACTCTAGCATTACTACTCTTTTGGGTTACAAAGTAAAGGGTGTCAACTTCTTGAATAGCTTTTAATGTATGTTGTCAAACAGTATCCCAAGCAAATCAATAAAGCATATTTGAGTCAAAACCACAAAGGCAAGTAATACTGCTCTGTTATCTTTCTGCAAAGTTACAGGTGTAAGTAAAAGGTACCTTTGTGCTTGATGCTGAGAAGTAACAAGACTGAACGTTTTTACACATTGTTTATTTCTCTTTCTCTAAATTATCTATTGCAGAGGTGTACTTGGCATATAAGAGAATTCTGCTCAGTGTCAATGATGTGGATCTTCAGTTGGAATTCTGCTTATAAGGAAATAATAAATGTAAATTGAAAATAGAGGCATTCTTTTTCCCTCCATAGTGTATGTGAACATATTCTACTGTGATATAGCTCTTAAGTCTAGCGGGTAGCAAGGGGCAAAAAAGGAAGGAAATTGAAAATTTTAGGGAAAAGGTAAAAAGAAAAAAGTGAATATCAACCAGACAAAGCTAATCAAAGACAAGAGAATTTAGAAGAGGCAGAAAAGGAAATTAGGAGCTAGAAACAGAAGTTGTTCTTATAAACCTGAAGACTTGGAACCAGTGCTCTCAAGATTACTCAGTAACTACTTAACCATTACTCAACCTCAGATGATCATCTGAAGCTGTATTTGGGTCAGACAGGGAAAGAGGCAATGGGAGTAGATAAAGGAGAAAAGTGTGCTACAGCAGTCTCACTGGAAGGGTAACAGGATACGAAGATCCTTTTAACTTTCAAATAACTTTGAAAGGTTTATCTTGGAGCTATAAGCAAAATGTCAGAAAGTACCATAGGAGTATGATTTCATAGGCAGAAGAATGTAGTAGATATGATTTGGCTGCCCCACCCAGCCACCATTCTCCTTTTTGCCTTGCCAGCAAAAGCTAACCCCAGTAACTGCTCCACCCACTACTTGAGTCACTGGGAAATTAATGGATCCTTACCTACTGCATTGTTGATGGGAGTGTAAACTTGTTCAACCACTTTGGAAAGTAGTATGGAGGTTCCTAAAAAGACTCCACATAGAGCTCCCCGATGACCCAGCAATCCCACTTTTGGGCATTTACCCAAATGTTCACAAACAAGACTACACTAAAGCTACCTGCACGACTATGTTTATTGCAGCCTTACTTACCATAGCTAAGATATGGAACCAACCCAGATGCCCCTCAGTGGATGAATGGATCAAGAAAATGTGGTACATATACACAATGGAATTCTATGCCTCCATCAGAAAGAATGATATTATACCATTTGTTAGGAAATGGAAAGACTTGGAAAAAATTATATTAAGTGAAGTAAGCCAGGCCCAAAGAAACATAGGTCCCATGGTTTCCCTTATTTGCAATAATTAGTATATGTATGAGTCAAGCAGAAAAGTTCAGTTAAGTTGATGTTAGGGAAATGAACCTTAAGATATGTATTCAAATGTTTTATTCTTTCATGTGATTGTTTCAAACACATTTATAAGATTATTTCTTTGTTGCTATGTATGTCCCTCCCCGACGTTATAACCCCTGCTTTCACTGTATTTGATGTTGTTATAATTTGTGGAGGGGAAGGGAAAAAACAAATCGTTTAAATAGGGATACAGGTGGACCCATTGCAACAATGAGATGTACAAGTCGTTATGTCAAAAAACAAACTTTACAACTTTGGTGGGGGGAGAGGGTTGGAGAGGGGATGGGAAGGGGAAACAAAGGAGGAGGCTACAATGCTTGATAAGAAATGTACTCATTATCTTGCCCATGTAATTGTAACCCCCCCTGTACAGTATTTTCACACACACACACAAAAAAATAATAGATCCTTTGCCTTCCTCTTCCTAGATATTTTTAGGGAAGAGTATGCAGCCCTTCCTAATTCTTATTAAAGAATTAGCTTTGCCAAAGTCTATCAAAAGCTACAGTCACCTTGGGATCAGAAGAAAAGCTTCCCTCCTTACTATAACAGAACAGAAATAAGAACCTAGGTGCTTGCTAATATCACTGAACTGACTGCAGAAGCCACTGAACTAAGCACTTGAAGCCACCCCTCCTACAGGCTTATAGAAAATAAAACATTTTTCCTTAATGTTTGCAGTATTTAGATTTAAGAGGAAGGGAGATGTGCTGTTATAGTTGTTTATTTCCTAAACTGGGGCATCCTAAATGGCTTCTAATAATGAATCTTACAAAAAATCTTGATCATCATTATATATCACAGAGCTACAAAATAAAGCAAACTTCAAAACTGTCACCACTACTTAAACATCTTGAACTACATTTATACTGTTTCTTGCTTGATGTTATTCAAATGTATCCAGAAGTAAAACACTTGGGTTTAAAATGTTTTAGCACATCTAGCAACCTTAAAAATTGGAATTATATTCCCTTTATGAATTTCTCTACTAAGCAAAAGTTTAAATATTTGGTTGTGGTTTGTCAAAATAGAGAATACCTAAGGTAAATAATGATGTTATTTCTGGAAAAAAGAAAAATTCAACAGTTTATTAAACAAATGTTTATTAAGTCTTGTTATGTAACACAGATACACAATGAAATAAGAGCGGAATCTAGCAAAGAAATAAAACTAACCCTTTTCCTCACAATGAATATATAAGAACGTACTAGAAAATGCTAATCATTTTTAATACTAAATTTGTTACAAAGCATATAAATGTAAATTTAGAATATATGCTAAGCTACATTTTAAACAACAAAGCAAAAAGTACCAATAAATATCACGACATAAAAAACTTTAACCATAAGCTAAATGCTAATCAAATTTTTGTAGAGAATCTTGTAAAGAATCTTGCCTTTAAAATAACTTGCCAGGAACTAGTGGCTCATGCCTATAATCTCAGGAGGCTTAGATCTGAGGATCACAGCTTGAAGACAGCCCAGGCTACAAAGTCCGTGAGACTTTTATCTCCAATTAAATATCAAAAAAAAAAAAAAAAGCTGAAAATGGAGCTGTGGCTCAAGTGGTAGAGCACTAGTCTTGAGCACAAAAGCTCAAGGACATCATCCAAGACCTAAACTCAAGTATTAGGATGGGAACATGAATGCACACACATGTACACATACACATATACACATACATACATACATACACACACACGCACACACACACACACACACACACTTAGAAAGAAAAAAAACAGGGCTTGGAATATGTCTTAGTAGTAGCAGAGTGCTTGCCTAGCATTCATGAAGCCCTGGGTTTAATTCCTCAGTACAACATAAACAGAAAATGCAGCACTGTGGATCATGTGGTAGAGTGCTAGCCTTGAGCAAAAGAAGCTCAGGGACAGTGCCCAGGCCCTGAATTCAAACCCTAGGATTAGCAAAAACAAAACAAAACAAAAAATCCCAAAACTTGCACATTAAAGGTTATTCATAGTCATTGGCAGAACAAAAGAATATTTGTTAACGTATTCAAGCATTTCGTAAGAATCTACTATGTACTGGTACCAATTCAATACAGAAGAGCAGCAATAAACAAACTAGACACAATCTTCCTTCACCAACACAACCTAGAGCAAAGGAAGGCAAATATTCTTAGTAAAAGGCCACAGAGAATATTTATGCACATATACCACAAAGTCTATCACAACAACTCAGCTCTGCCAGCTATAGATATAAGCTATAGATAGTAAGTTAAGTATAGCTATGGCCTACTAAAACTTTACTGTGGAGAGTGAAATTCAATTTTCATATGATTTTCATAAAATAATACTCTTAATGATTTGTATCAATCATTTAAAAATACAAGCACTATTCTTAGCTTGTAAGCCACAGAAAACCAAGGCTAGCAGGTCAGCTTTGATGCAAGGCCTATAGTTTGCCAAATCCTGGTCTACACATTAAGAGTAACTGGATAATTACGTGGTTTATTGCTATTAGATAGTGTTCGAAGAGTGTTTAATGAGGAGACATAGCCTGATTTGAAGAAAGCCTTTTCCCACAGAAATGATTTTTAAGCTGCAACTTAAAGTAACAAGCCAAAGGCTTGAGAGAAAAAGCAAAGAGCCTTCTAAACAAGTGAACAGTATACGCACCAGCTCTGAAAAGAGTAGGGAAGAGCCTGGAAAGATGATGCTGCAGATAAAGGGGACCAGTACAGACCAGGCTAAGAGATTTCTGGTCTCTGTCCCAAAAGTAATTGGAAACCACTGAGCGGTTTTAAGCAGAAGAGAACAATCAATCAGCTCCCATGTTTTCAACAATCATTAAGATTGCAGTATGAGAAAGATGAGAAGGAAGCATG